AACATCTTGCTTCAAAAGGGTAATACCACTGCGGACGACATCGTCCTTCTTAAGACCGCCTTCGGACTCGAAAACGTGACGAGCAGTGCCGACTTTGCGAGCACGATCAATGGCGGGATCAGCGGCCTGCAAGGCCGCAACTGGGACCCCGCGATTGATAGCAGGGCTTTCCTGCGTTACTGCGCGAACATGACTTCCGATGAGGTCTACTGGCCAGGAACGGAGAGTCTGGATGGTGCAGTCCGAGAACTGCTCGCCGTTGGCGGGTATGAGTCCGAGGTCGAGGAGTTGGCGACACGCTTCAAGAACTACATTGGCTACGTCAACTTCACAACGGTTGCCTCCTGCCGTGGGCAGGATCAGGACGACTGCTTCGGCTCCGGGGACGACGACGCGTATTCTGCGGACGATCTCCGGCAAACCTGGCGACTATGGTCCTGGCAATACTGCACGCAGTAAGTTAATTGACATATTCTCCAGCGATCTGGTGGCTAACGTTAGATGTCAAGGTGGGGATACCTCCAAACTGGCTCCGGTGTCCCTGAGACTCAATTGCCACTGATCTCACGTCTCATCGACCTCAACTACACAACTCAGATCTGCCGCAAGGCATTCAACGTGACAACACTACCTGACGTGGAGGCCATCAACAAATATGGTGCCTATAACTTCAGTTACCCCCGCGTAGCAATCATTGATGGAGAATCGGACCCGTGGAGACAGGCGACTCCGAACAAGATTGGATTGCCTCGGCCGGAGTCAACCATCACCGAGCCCAACCTTGTCATCGGGGGAGGAGCGGTACATCATTGGGATGAGAATGGCCTGTTCAAGAACGAGACCACGGCCGACTTGCCACCTGGACCCGTCAAGGAGGCCCAGGCATTTGAGGTCGAGTTTGTAACAGCTTGGCTCAACGAGTGGAAGGAAGCGAACGGTTCCAAGTAGCAACCTACTGATAGTCCCAAGAGCCTGACATCACGCGCTGCAGAAGGGACAGAGGCATATAGTATGATCAACTTCAATTCATTGGGTACATAATCCATAATGACTCGGCATAATCCGAGGCATGTCGTCATGATTATTCACATTGTCAAGCTCATTTCGTGGCCGCATTAATGATGATCTCAGCGGCTCTCTCGGCGATGCCATAGACCGCAGTCTGAATATGAGCTGAGATCAACACAGGCATGATGCTGGCGTCAACGACCCGTAGATTCGTCGTTCCATAGACCTTAAGAGTTGGGTCAACAACTCCACCATCCTGCTTCGGAAGCATGGCGCAGGTGCCAACGGGATGGTAGATCGATAAAGCTGTCTTGAGGGCAAAGTCCCTCCACTGGGCATCTGTGGTAGTGTTCAAGCCGGGTTCATACTCTGAGATCCAAGTTGATCTTAGAGGCTCTGTGAGCGCAACCTCACGACACTTCTTGATGGCTTGGATGGCTGCTTGCAGGTCGTACTCGTGAGATAGATACTTGGGATCAATAAGAGGTGGACCCAGTGGGTTGGAGGCGTTGATGTGGACGTTCCCACGGCTCAGAGGGTGCATGATGGCAGCGATGAGAGTCACGTAGTCCTTGCCGTACCCATCAGTCCCTTGTGCGGGGTATCCCTTGACGCCAGTATATCCATCGCTGAATAGGATCTCGAGTTGTGGCACAGTGGTATCGTTCAACCACTGAAGCTTCTTTTGCTCGACTGGATGATCGGAAGCCCCCACGGCCTCGTGAGCAAGCGCAAGCATGTCCGCCTCACCCTCGTCGCCGAGAGCCTGGTTCCAGTTGGTGAACGTGTAGCCGCTGCCAGAGTATCCGTACATCGACGTCTTGCCATCCCACCACAGTTGCAGTTGCTCGGCAGCATACGCAGTGTCGTACTTGAGGCGATCGTATCCGGTGTAGTTCTTGCTGAGCTCGTATGAGCTTTGGATTCGGATGTGGTCTTGGAGGTTCTCGCCGACGCCTGGGAGGTTGATGATCTGCTCAATACCTGCAGCGGAAAGCACATCAGAGCTACCGATACCAGAGTTCTCCAAGATAGAAGGGCTGAGAAGACCACCGCCTGAAACAATGACCTCGCGACGGGCTGTCAGGGTGGTTCCGTCGACTAGTGTAACACCTGTAGCTTGATGGTTTCCGTCGGATGTAGGCTTGAGGTTAACCTTGGCAACCTTGGACTCTGTCAACACAAAGTGGTTTGTTCCAGCCAAAGGAAGATAGGAGTTGGCGCTATAAGACCGGTTGTAGTGGGTTGGCTCGATGCTGTTAGGCGAGTATAGAACGCCCAAGGAATTGCCGTTCAACGATTCCAAGTTAGTTTCGATACCGAGGCTGTTCATCACAGGTATCAACCCAGCTTGGTGCTCGGGGATAAGGCGGTTTATCAGCGCCTTGATCGGGCCCGAATCTCCCACACCCTCACTTCCTGTATAATACTGCGTGTTGGCCGAAGTAAAGTTCTCGGACTTCATCATAGCGGCGCGCATCGAATCCCAGTTCCAACCAGGGTTTCCCAGCTCTTCCCAGCCATCGTACTCATGGGCAGACGCTCTGTCGTACGAAAAGAGGTTCAGCGCGGAACTGCCACCCAGAACATGGCCTCGCGTCTGGACCCAAACGCGCCCGTCGGACCCTTCTTGGGGCACGGTCGTCAGGTTCCAGTCGTACTTGGTACCGAATGTCGTGCCTCTGCGTCCAGGGATCTCGATGCGTTCATCCCCAAGACCTGCTTCGCCTGCCTCGATAACAAGGACTGTCGCATTGGGCAGGCCCAGGCTCAGGCGGGTTGAGAGGGCCAGGCCCGCGGTACCGCCTCCGACAATGATCTTCACATTGTCAGCTTTTAGTCCAACTTGGCTTTTCAGCTTGCTACATGACACGTACATAGTCATAGGCCTCAGCGGCTCGCTTCTCAGGAGCCGCGGCCGCGACGGTCGCCAGCAGGGCCGTGAGTATAGTGGCAGGGAGCATGTTGGCTACGGCTGATATTAGCTATCCGTGCGCCAGATGAGTTGTGACGATGCGGTTCTAGACTCCAGGGAATCCATGCCGTTGATGCGACGCGTAAGGCTGTGAGTATGAGACGAACGTACCTCTCGAGGGTTAGAGGGTGGCACGAACGTCGAGGGAAAGGGTGTCGACGACGATCTCAAGCTGCTTAACACGAGCTTGAAATGGCCCTTGAGTCAGGTAAACAGGAGGGGGTGAGGTTCGTACGGTTGCTCCGGAAAAGGTTCCGTCAACCCTTTTGTACGAAAGATCCTGGGGTGCCATGACAAGCCGATGCGCGATAAAGCGATTCAATTTGCCGTTTGATCAATCACATCGTCCCATCCCAAGGCAAAGGTCCCGAGAAAGGCAGGGTTGGTTCCAACGAACCGCCATACTGGCCCTTGCAGATGCATCGCAACACGCAGACGGATTGGCCAGCTCCTCGGAGAGCAGTCTGGGGGTAAACCCGAGTTTGAATGGTCAGGTTGACTCCCGAGTGGGGTGAAGATGGGAATCCGGTGAGGTTTCATTGCTAGAGAACACCGCCCAGATATTGGACGCCACTCGCAACCTTGAGTGTTCCCAGGGTCCAATGTGTTTTCTCTCCCAACTGCCATGTTTTTGGGGAGGGAGAAGAAGAGGGGTGCCACTGTTGTCGGGCGTTGTGACAGGGATTCGGCAGTTTACCCCGGTCGTGCCCCCTAACACAAACTCCACGCCGGTAGCGACAGCGGCAGCTGCGGGAAGAAGTTCTGCTTAACGTTCACTGAAAGTGACAGGGAATACTCGGGTTCTGTTCTTGCGAATCCCACACGAGCATGCGCCAAGGCGGCGCGGAAAGGGGCGAATTTGGTTGTGCTGAAGAATGTGGATAAGCGAGCAACAGGCCTCAATTGAGGTTGCGTGCCGGTTTGTATTTGCTCGCCTGCAGTTATCAATCATCACTCCCATCAATTCTGTCGTGGTCTTACGAGAAGTACTCGAAAGACCTCTTGGACCGCAGTCAGTCAACATTATCCGTAATTCGAAGTAGTTGATGATGCAGTGGATTCTCGCGATGTCCACCATTAGTCACCTGAAGGCGGGCTGGACCGTCGGTACGGCAGATCCCAGGAGCTTTGGCTCCAGCTTCCATGGACGTGCCTTGTTCGAAAGTCCATGCAGTTTATTGAATTTAATTGGAACTACCTGGCATCTTTTCCCAATCCGCCGCAGTCATCATGGACATCACCTCCCCCTCAAAAACAAGTTTTCCCCGGGATTCAGATGCCCCAACGTTGGGACATGTCACGATGCAGTTACTCCGTCAGTAAGAGCGCAAAAGATCCGGAAGAACACCTCCAGTCCGGCACGTCTCACGAGCTTTCTCCGGCCGTTGCCCTCTGCGCAAGGAACTTTGTGATGTCTCATGTGCCCTGCGACCGGTTCGTCTCTCTCGCTGGGGCTTTTCCGATCTCACTTGCCTTCCTAAAATAATGCCCAGACATTCAGTGGAGATGCGAGTCAGGAAGCCTGAAAACAACCAACAAGGGCCCCAACCGAGGGCATTGGCATCCCTTGCACTTATCTGCGCGACTGCGTGGCACGCTGGTCGCACAGGAGATTCCGCACTCTGGGGAGGCCTTCCGCTGCATTCTTCCGCGCTTCGAAGCCTCTGCGGGCGGAAAGTCTAATGCCATCTGGCACGTTTGAATGGCCATGCCTTGACCGAGTGGTGTCGCAATATCTGGGACCCCCAGCGAATTCGCCCTTGAACAGTCGGACGAATTGCCTACCCGGTCTGGCAAAGAGTCCTTGCAGAATATGTGTATCAAACAGAATACTGTGGCAGGCTGTCGGTCGGACCGCACGATGGACATATAGAACCCAGCCTCGTGCACCGACTAGCCCTAGATTTGTCGAATTTTGTGGCTTTGAACACCACGCTGAAGTCAAGAGTAAGACTGTTCTGTTGAACAGCGTCGATGCGAAAAGCCAGCCATGGGGAATCTCAAATCGATCCTGACAATGTCGACAAGCATCCTTCAACGAGACGAGGCGCTCCCTCCCGACGAGGACATCGGTCCCGCCTCCGTTGCAACCGCAGCTGTCCTGACGGCACTCATGATCATCACCACCGGTGCTCGAATATGGGTTCGAGCAGCGAATCGAAAGCTTGGTTGGGACGACTGGACGATTCTCATAGCGAGTGGGGTCTCGATTGTACGATTTGCGTTCGTGGTCAAGCAACAACAGTATGGCAACGGCAGACACCGCGTCTATCTCGGCGACTATGACTACATGATGATCAACATGTACGGGTGGTGGGGTCAGATTCTACTGTTTCTTGCAGTAGCTTTTCTGAAAGTCTCGATCTGTCTCCTGATTTTGCGGATCAAAGACACCAAGATCTTGAAGATCCTGCTTTATACGATTATGGGAGGAGTCTTGGTTTCGAACTTTGGAGTGGTCATTATCTTGGTTGCGGAATGTCAGCCTGCGGGTTTCTGGAGAGGGAAGTCCGCAAAATGCTGGCCAACACAGATCAGGATTTACTCGATTTGGGCTACAATTGGTACGTTGATCCAGTTTACCAATAATGCTAAAATCTTCAGACCAACGGGTCTATCGTTCGCCCAGAGAACTAACATTGAGCCTCTAGCCTTCTCGGTTTTGACCGATTTGATATGCTCCCTTCTTCCTCTAGCCGTCGTCTGGAACGTCAATATGCCGAGACGGACAAAAGTCTCAGTGTGTTTCTTGATGGGACTGGGCTTAGCGTAAGAACAATTTCCACCATCCAAACGCCGCGGATCTTCCCTCTCTACGGGCTAGCCTCTCTGTTTCAGTTCTACAGCTAACTTAAAATACAGTGCAACTGGCTTTGGTATTGCAAGAGCCGCATCTCTTGGTATTAACACCACCGATCTGAGCTGTAAGTCTCCCATTCTGCCTTGTCAAGTGATATCTTACAAAGTTTGGACAGGGGCATACTGCATTGCCGGAATCTGGTCAAACCTCGAGCTCTTCCTGGGCATCATCGCAGCGAACTTGGCCCTCTCGCGGTCGATATGGGTCCATTTCTTCGGGAGCAACGACTCCCACGCGATCCCTGGCTCAACCGGCCGTTCGAATCCCACCGAGTCGGGTTATGTCAACAGTAAACTCCGAGGCGACCAATTCGAAGTACCGTCGACGATGGTCCGTTCGCGCAGACGGGGATCCGAGACCAGAAGCTCAAATAGCGATATACCTTTACAGCCTGGTATCCAGAAAAAGACGGAATTCTGGTGGACGGAGGACGATGAAAGCCAGTCACAAACGCCGTTGAAGAGGTGATCGGATGTCGGAGGGATAAGAGTGCGAGCGGTCTGGCGGTGGATAGGGCAGCGCAATCAATTATGATTATGATCGTACGAATACCCACTGGCAGGGCCCATGTCATTCCCCATCGTGAAAGAATTCTGCCGGACCCGTGCTTGGCGTCGAACACCGCGGAATGTGGCTCTGTGCTTTAAGCTTACCCGTCGTCACGCGAGCGGCGGGGAGATAGGCTAAGTTTGGACGAGCAGTCAATTCCGCCTCCGTAATCAGAGGCTAATCTTCAGATATCATAACAACCAACTTTGCTCCACCGCCGCCACTTTCCAGTATTTCATAGACTTTTTGAATTTTATCTAATCTGAAAGCCTTCACTAAGCTTTAAATTACTTATACTATAGATACCTATAAGTACTTATCTAAATAAGTTAAGTTATAGGTATACTTAGAATATAAGTAGATAGGTTTACTAAGTATATAAGTAGATATTAATATAAGTATAAATAGAAATTCTACCTATACTTATAAGTTAAAGGTATATACTTTCTAATAAATATAGTAAAGTATTATACTAACTATTCTATTAATTATATAAAATTTATTTTACTAATAATATAGATTACTTATCTTAAAATAAATAAGTTTATATTATAATAATTATTATAATAATTTTATAAAAATTATTTTTATATTTAAATATTTTTTATATAATATAGTTCTATTTTTATTATTAAATTCTTAAAATAATCTATCTGAATTAAGTTATTCTTTACTATATAGTCTTATAATTATTCTATTTTATTATTATTAATTAAGTCTTAATCTTAATCTTATTCTTATTAATTTAAAAAAAATTATCTATTTACTCTTAAAAAGTATTATAAAATACTAAATTATTAGTATTAAGTTAATATATAGTATTTTCTACTACTTTTTTAAAAGTATTTACTAACTTAATATTAAAACTTTCTTTATTAAAGATTTTAAGATATTTAAAACTTTTAAGATTAAAACTATATTTAATAGCTTCTTCTCTATTATTATTACTTATTATATTACTATTAAAAGGATTTTCTTTATAGCTAATAAAAGCTTTAAAGTTTTTATTATTATTATTAATAGCTATAATATTTTACTTTAGGTTATTAGTAGCTTTAGTATTTTTTATAAAGATATTATTATATTAAGTATTTTCTTTAGTAATATTAAAAATATAAGGATTTTTAATAAAGATATTATTAAGCTTAATATCTTTAAGCTAATTATTAATATAAAGTAATTATATAGAAGTATTATTAGAAATTATATTACTTTTATAATTAAAACTAATAGTAGAAATTAAGTTTTTATAATTAGTTTTTCTCTTTTTTTTTAGCTTTAATATAATCTTTCTTATTATAACTCTCTTTCTTTTCTTTATAATATTTTACTCTTTTTTATTATTTTTCTTAGAAAGTATTATTTTATTTATTTATTTAGATAGAATAATAAGATTTAGCTTTAAGATATTATAGATTATAAAATAGAATTAAATATATATAATATCTTTCTACTTTTATATAATTTTATTAGAATAAACTAAATTAATATAAATAGAATAAAATAATAGAATAAAAATAGAATTTAGTATTTTACTAAGTATTATTAAACTATAAATATCCTATACTTTAAGATATTATATAAATTTTCTTAATAAAGTTAATATCTATAGGTTTAATAATAACTTTCTTAGTATAAATTACTATATATAGAGATATTAAAAATAAGTTAGTAAAAAAATAAAAAGTAAATAAATAAATATATTTTTAAATATAGTTACTAAAGTTACCTTAATAGCTTCTTAAAGAGCTACTATAGCTATAGCTTATTAATAAAATAAACTAAATTAGCTAACTTAATTATATATAATTTCTTTAATAAGGTGCTAAAAAAGTACCTTAAGGATAAAGATATTATAAGAAGTTTAATATTAATAAATTTCCTATAAAGTATAATCTAAAGGATATTAATATTATAATAACTAAAATAAATTATAATAATTTAATTTATATTTAAACTTATAGTAGTAAATAAGTATATACTTTCCTATAATATAAGTAGGGATTTTATAAGTAGTTTTTTAGTTAGTCTTCTTAATAGCTATATTAATAAGCTTCTTATTAATCTTTTTAGTAGCTATAATAATAGTTTTATAGCTATATTTATAAGTAGTCTACTTAAGTATATTTTTAGTAGTATTTATATTAAATAATATAGTAAGTAAAAGTATTATAGATTTAAGATATTTAGAAGAAATTAGATTCTAAATAAGTAAAAATAAGAGAAATAGTAAGACTTATATAGCTATTTATAAAATAAACTAAATAAGATTATAATTATAATATATTATAGAAGAAAAAGAAAGAGGAATATATAAAGTAGTAGATATTAAAAAAAGAAGTTATATATATATCTAATAAGTAGTAAAAATAACTAACCTACTTTTATTATTATAGTAATAGCTACCTACTTCTTAAAAATTATATAATATATTAATATAGTCTATATATCTATATTATATAAAATTAATTTTATATTTATAATTAATCTTTCTTCTTATTATAATTAAAATAAAATATATCTAAAATAAGAATAAATATCTTTTTAAATATTTATTATAAAATATCTTTAATTTATATTATATAGTATACCTTAGGAAATATTATTATTATTATATATTTATAGTTTATACTTATAATATTATTATAATAATCTATAAGGTTATTATAATAATCTTTCTTATAAGTTACTTAGTTAGATCTAAAGCTAATAAGAAAAAAAAAGCTACTAAAGATTATTCTATTAATCTTTATATAATAAAAGTATAAAAGTAAATTTATAATATAATTAATATAGAAACTAAGTTTTATTAATTAAAATAGTATCTAAATATTAAAATAATATATATAAAGAAAATAATAATATAAAAACACTAAAATTAGGATTCCCTAAGTAAAGTAGAGTAAGAAACTATAATCTAATAAATAAAAGTCTAAGTTTATTAAGATATATAAATTCTTTTAGAAGAAAATATTTTAAAAATACTTATAGGAATATAGAATAGAAAATAGCTATTACTTAGCTTAATTTAACCCTTACTTTATATTACTTATCCTAATTATACTATTATAGTTAATATTTTTACTTAATACTAAAGTTTAAATTAACTTTAAAATATTAAGAAGATCTACTCTAAAGCTAAAGTATAAAATATAAATATCTTTTAATAATTTATATAAAGTATTAACTTAATTTAAAATAAACTTTTATTAATTTTCTTTTATTTTATATTATATAAATATCTAAGGTTTAAAGATTAACTCTTATAATAATTAATTTAAATATATTATTAAAGATAATTATAAGCTAAGCTAAGAAGATATACCTCTATATAAACTAATAAAGTTTAAATAAAACCTCTTAGTATAGTTTATAAATAATTTTAATTTTAAGATTAATAAATAAAATAGAAAAGATATACTAAATAAGTATTTTTAAAATAAAATAAAAGTTATCCTTAAAGTTATTTAGTATATAAATATTTTATAATTCTTTTTTTTAAGTATTCTTATTAAGGTTTTATAATAAACTTTAATTATTAGTTACTAATAATTCTAAGTAATATAACTTATAATACTTAATTTATTTTAGCTAAAGCTATTATATTTCTATTAATTCCTAAAGAAAATATAAGAGATTTTTAAAGAAACTAATATTATAAAGCTAAATAGGATTTTTCTATAAATATAAAACTTCTTTATACTTAAAGAAATATTCTTTCTTTTAGTTTTTTAGAAATTTAATATTATAATAATTAGTAAAAAGAAAAAAAACATCTTATAGAAAATATATTAAATATAAAAATAGAAATAGTAAAATATTTAAGAGAAGATATATAAAAATATAAAACTTAATAAAAGATTTTTAAGTTAATAGAATCTTAAGACTAAATATATATAAGTTTTAAAAAGTTATCTTATTATAAATTATATTTATAGCTAGTAATTCTTATTCTATATATTAGTATAGAAGTAGATCTAAGATATCTTTAGTAAAGTTAAAAATAATATAAAAAAGAATTAAATTAAACTTTTTAATCTTATTAAAATTTAGTATAATATTACTTAGATCTATACTATTAATATAGAGGTTTTAAATATAGTCTAATATTTCTATAAGTATAAGCTAGCTTTAATACCTCTTTAGTTTTAGATATTAATATTTATAAATTAATACTTTAAAATATAAAATTAATTTAATAATAAAGTAATATTTTAAGTATTTAGTTTCTCTTTTCTCTTAAATAAATAGAGTAGATAAATAAAACTTAATAGTAATAAAAGGAATATTTATAGAAAAGTATAAAATAGAATTTTTAATATATTATAGAAAGAAAGATATAATAATTAATATATTCTTAATACTAAGTAGTTTTAAGATTATAAGAGATTATTATAATATAATTATTATAATATAATTATTATAAAAAGCTTACTTCTTTTTATATTTATATATCTATTATAGTTTCTTTATATTTAGTAATTATACTTAAGTTACTCTTCTCTTTTTAACGTTAAAATAACCTTAATTTAAGCTTTCTAAAGGTATCTATATTTTCTTATAAAATATAGTCCTTCTCTTCTATAAAGTTTAAGAAGTTAATAATATTATAAACTACTTCTTTAAGATATATAATAGCTAAAATAACTTATTTATTATCTATATATATACTTAATTCCTTAAGGTGTTTATTAAATATATTAAGTATAATAAACTTATAATATTTAATCCTTATAACTTTAAGTTCTTCTTTTATAGTTTTAAGCTCTTTAAATAAGAAGTTTTTACTTTTTAGATATAAAAACTTATTTAATATCTTATTAAGTTTTATTAATAATACTATATAAATAAATAGCTATATTAAATTACTAAGATTACTTAACTAAGCGCTCTAAAGTAATAATTCTCTACTTATAAAT